ATAATCAGATCATATGTTGCATAAATGCTTTGGATGACTTTTACAGATAGCTGGTAATTAATGTGAGTGTGATTTTACTAAATATATTTCCTATGCTCCCCACGAATTATTATGGTAGGGACGTACCGTAGAGCTACTCAATGTTAAAAGTCCCCCAGCACAAGTGTCTTACAGAATTCATGGTTAAAGATTTAACGGGCGCTTACTGCGTCACAAGTGCGCTATAAGAAAGAAATTAAAGCCGCCTGTTATTGTTATATCAAGATAAAAGTGTTGGTGAAGGGGTTGCTGGAAGTAGGGAAAAGTCAGAAAATGAGGCCTATTAGAACAATCCCTATTGGTTAACTTAATCAAGTAATGTTTTTGAATAAGCGCAAATTCAACCTACTGAAAATGTGGAAGTAGGGTTTGTTGTTACCACCCTTCCTCGAGCTGCCCTTCTATAAATTCCCACCGAATTACGTTATAGAAGAAATTCACTATGCCAAAGAGTTTTCTCGAAATTTCATCAGACGGGGTTCATGTACTGAATAGCTATTCAGAGATAGTGTTCATTAAAATGCGTGCAAGATGTTCTTAAGTAGTTTTATTAACTATGAAGGTTCTCCTACAAAAAATGGCATCACCGTGAAATGCAGAGGCAGTAGCCCCCACTCCTAAAATTGTTCTTTTCTACACGAAATGATAGCAGTAAAGGGAGTGAAGTAGTCCTCGGTGAAAATGAACAAGAGAGAATGAGGTCGGTATTTTTGTTTCACAGCTTTGGCAGCAATTTCATCTATAAAAGCATTAAGGCCCACAATGTGAAATAGTTTAGATTCACAAAATCTCAACAAAAGTTTGTAACGACTACCGCCTACTGCCACTCATTCGGATTATTTAAGTCAGATAAAAGTGCCATGCAGCCTGTTTGGTGCTAGTGTACAAGACAGCACGTGGGAGGAGCGTGTAGAAGACGAGTTTAGGAGAGATTTGTCATTGCACTTCACATTGTTTGTCATTTACAACCCCATCCCTTCAGTTCAGCGATGTTTTTGGTTGGCTCGATGACGGATGAAGCATCCTTGTTTTTCACTGCAAGATATCAGCTTTCTCCTGCGGGGGATTTCAGATTGCTTGCACTCACTTCTTCCATGCATTTTGATAATGATATAGGATTACTCTTTTGTCAAAGCAAGTGCTACTCGCTTTTCGCCTGAAATCCTGTGATTAGCGTAGTTTTTGAATTTTCTCTTTGTGTTGTTACGTGTCCTACTTACGTTCTCACCGGCAAGAAACTCAAAGTCATTCGCCTATTTTTTCCCTCGATAAAACTGAGGTTAACTGTTGCGGAAAGAGAACTTCCTTGGTATTAACTCAAATAAAATCTACTGATACAAGACAGCATTCTTGGGTAAATCAAATGCGGACTTTTAGTCTAAGGTCTCCC